AGAAGATTTAGAGCAGGTTTTGCTACCTCTAGTATGTGACCTGGGGCAAATCATTTATTTTATTTGAAACTCAATATTCTTACCTGTAAAGTATGTATACTGCTATAGGAATTGCCTCCCTTAAAGTTTTTTTGTGAGGCTTCAAAATGAGTTAATGTGTATAAAAATTCATTGAAAAACATTTGATTGATAAATATAAAACAGTATTACTATACAGTCCTTGCAGTGTATTTAAGTTATATCAAGTAAAATCCATAAATATAAAGTAAAAATAATTATTCAGCAAAATTATGTATCTTAGCTTAATTTATATCACTATTAAAATATTTAGGAGAACATGAAGGACTTAAAAAAAGATATTCATTAAATTTCAGTAAGAACTTAATGCTTAGCTATAAATTTTATTATGTAAAAATAAGATAATCTTCCACAAATTATATCATAAAATGCAAATATTATAGAAAGGCATATGCATTTTAAATTCAATAATAACTTATGAAACTGTATATTTCATTATTTAAAGAAAATGACATAACCTGGTCCTTTGCACAAATATGATCTGAAGTATAAATATAGTTATATGAATACATACACATTGTCATTTACTAAAAGAGTAAACAGGCATATGTGAATTGATGAAGCACCTACATTACTGAATCATGTTCAAACTGAATTGTGATAAATTAATTTTAAATACATTAAGAGAAATTGCTAATTGGAGGAACCGTATTGTAATTTTGCAAAGCAATGTTCATTTCTCAATACACCCTTATGGATGATAAATGAGGTGTGAAGAGAAAAACACAGGACACTGGGAGTCAGGAGTATCTGCATTCAGTTTCTCAACAAGCTACTGTTTAGCACTTACTATGTGACAGGCATTATCCTAGGTGCTCGAGATACATTACTGAAAAACACAGACAAAATATCCTTAGGAAGCTTGCATTCAGGTAAGAAGGAACAAACAAAAAACACATGATATAATAAGTAATTAATCAAAAGGTTACAATTGCTATATAAATGAGTAAACTGCTAGGTTATATTTTTGTGGAATAAAACACTGTAAGAGAATCAAGTGCGTGTGAATATGGTAGGGCAGGTCCATTTTAGCAGAATGGTTAGGGTAGGTCTAATCACCAAAGTACTCAGCAGACAGACGCAGCGCTGGGGGTCGGGGGACACCCATGCAGCCAAAGGGAAACAACCAGTGTAAAGATGCTGAGGCCCCATTTGATTCTCAGAAAACAATCTTGTGAAAAAGATGATATTCCATTTAGCACATAAGTAAACTGTCAGAGTGACTTGATCAAAGGAATAGAGCTAGTTTATAATAAAGCCAGGACTAGAAACCAGGTTTCTTGATCTAGTGCCTTTCTTTTGTTTTATCCCTTTGTTCACCAGGCACAGAAGAAAGTACTCTGTTTCTCACAAAGGACTGTATAAATGTAAGGTTTCATTGCTGTTGTGGTTGTTGCTATCATTACTATTATTAATTCCACTGATATGTCTTTTTTTGTATTTTTTACTGATATAGTTGTACACATTTTATGGGTACATTGATATTTTGATACCTGTATATAATGTATAATGATTAAGTCAGGGCAATTAGAATATGCATCATCTCAAACATTTATCTTTTTTTGTGTTGGGAATATTACAATTCTTCTTTTCCAGCTATTTTAAAATATATAATAAATTATTATTAACTATTAATATAATTTCTCTATTATAGAATACTAGAATTAATTCCTTCTGGTATTTTTTGGAAGGTAGATAGGGCTCAAAGAACAATTTCATTTTCCTTTCTTGCGGCTTATTTTTCTCCTTTCTTTATCTGTGCTTCTTTTCTTGGATGGATCATTTTAATATCAGATTACCAGTTAAAGTAATTATACTTCTTTCGATATTTGATAATGAAAACATGTTAAACATAGGAATAAACTATACATTAGAAACCACTTATGACTTAACATGAAAAAGAGCTGAGGGAAGAATGGAGAGAATGTGCAGCCCAGTGATTTGGACAGATAACTGCATTTTTCAAGAGAGGCAGGAAGTAAAAATGTTAAAAACAAAGACCACAAAAAAGGAAACCTGCAGAAAAGGCAAAAATGGTGGAAAGGGGGCTGAAGAGAAGGGGAGAAGAGATTTTCAAATATTTTCAAGTAAAAATGTGATAATATTAGACAATAAATGATATAAAAGAAAAAAGAGAATAAGAATCAGATTTCAGACACCGTAGACTGAAGAGCTGGTGGAATTACTAGCAGCAAAAGGGAACAGAGAGGAGAGTCTGAAAGGTGAGTAGTTTTCTTTTTGTAATGCTGGGTTTAAAGTGGCAGTGAGGTTCTCACAAGTGGAAAGGGTCTAGTAGATAAGAGGCAAATTTGAAAGATGTGTACTATCTAGAGCCGTTTCATCCAACACAGTAGCCTCTAACATGTGGCTACTGAGCAAGTGAAATGTGGCTAGCCTGAACTGAGATGTGTTCTAAGCATAAAATTACATGTGTGCTTCGATGATTTTCTATGAAAAACATAAAAAGAATGTATAAAGTACCTGTACCTTTTTTTTGCATTGACTACATGTTGAAATAATATTTGCATGGATTGGGTTAAATAAAATACATTAAAATTAATTTCACTTGTCACTTTTTGCTTTTTAATGTGAGTACTCGACAATTGAAAATTATACATATGGTTTATATTATATCTATCAGTGCTGATACAGAGCAAAACTAGATATTTATTAAGATCACATAAGGGACAGAGAAGTAGGAAATGAATTAGACACATTCTTAAATGTCTCAACTGAAAACAGATGGGCGAAAAAAGAACGCATTATAATAGTTAATATTTACTAAGCACTATGCTAGACACACAAAATGCATCACCTTATTTGTCCCTCCCAATAATCTTATGAAATATCATCATCTTTTACAGAAGAAAATACTGAGGCCCAAGGTCGCACAGTTAAATGCTGACGTTGGGATTCAAACCCAGGAATGACCCCAGATATCAAGCTCTAAACTGCCCCATCAATTCCAGAACAAGTTATGCTCTCCAATTATCAAATGGTTAGACTTTAAATGTTATATTTAAATTAATAATTTGTTAGAATGGTTCATTGTCAGTGATACACCCTTGAAGTCCCTATTTGATTAAGGAAAAGCTACAAATGAGTAAATCTGTAACTTCTGAATTATGATAAGTCACTGACTCGAGCCTGTTTTCACCATGTTGTGTAACTTTTTCCTCTTTATCAATGCCTACTCCTAGAAATTCCAACCCGTCAAGTTAGATGGTACATACCTAATTGGCCAATAGAGATGATCACTGACACAATCTGGAACAGCAGGGTGCTGTTTTCTGAATATAACTAGATATATCATGTGGATCCACTTGACAAACTTTCAAGTCTCTTTCAGACCAGGAAACCACCGGTACCTCCCAAACTGACTAAAACAGTTTTTGAAGGAAGCTGGATTAAACAGCAACCTTCTGTTGAAGAACTAAAAATTAAGCTTACCCAACTGGATACTTTAAAAATGGATTTCATACTCCTTGAAAATGCTACACTTTTGCTTGCCTTTGATTTGGGTTCTTTTATGTTGATTCCCATGACTTTTCCATTCAATTAAAGAGCTATCCTTGGACTTGTTCTCGCACCGCTATTCCCATCTAAACTTTGGAACAAACACCCCAAAGGAGAGAGCCAGTTAGCCTAAAAACGCTTTGTCCGAGGTGATGCCACGGTGTCCGCAGCATGAAATGACAGACGGAGCGTGAGAGATGACCACCGAGGGCGGCAAATCCGGGTCCCTCCCGTCCCACAGCGTCTCCCTCCTGGCAAACCCCGCCGGAGACTCGTCGCAAGTGTCAGTCGGGCACTCCTGGTAGCGGCTTCCCACTTGGGCGCTAACACACAGCAGTCTGCGTTGTTGGGTTAATCTTAAAAGGCTGTGGAGCACCTCCTGTGCACCGGGCACGGCTGTGGGTGCCAGGAATGCAGTGGACGAGACGACAAAATCCCAGTCCTCCTGAAACCTACGTCCCGGTGGGGGAGAGTCAACAACCACGATGAACAAGACACGCAGCACGCTGACAGAAACGCACGCCGCGAAGAGAAAACAAAAGCCGCAGGAAGGGAAGGCGCACTGGCGGGCGGGAGGCAGGGCAGGAAAGGCTGGAATGTTAGGGCGAGGAGGTCGGGAGAGACTCGGAATCGAGGGGCGGCGTTACCACAGGGTAGCGGGGACCCGAGGCCGCGCAGCGCCGGCGGGAGCGGGTCGGGAAAGCAGATTAGCACGTTTTAGCGAGTCCCGACGCGGGGAGAGGAAACCCTCGGGAGGGGAGACAAAGACCGAGCCGGCCGCCGAAGGCAAGCGCAGACCTCGCGTCGCGCCCGGGGCCGGGCTTCGGCGCGGCTCGGCCCTGAGGCTCGGCAGGGCGGGGCCCCCGCGCCCCGGGACGGCTCGACGCCGGCGGCCGCACGGACCCGGGCAAAGCGCGGCCGCCGGGGCGCGCCGAGGCCCCGGGCCGGGCGCCGTCTGCCCGACACACCCCCGGGCGCGGCCCGCGGGGAGGACGGCGGGAGTCCGGCCGTTGGGACCCAGCCCGGCTTCCCGAGGCGGTGGGAGCCGCGCTCGGAAACGCCGCTCTGCGCCCCGGGAGCGGGCGGGCGGGCGGCGCGGGAACGGCTGCCGGGCGAGGGCGGAGGGGCGGCTCCCGCGCCCGGCTGGCCGCGAGCGTGCGACAGGGCGCGACGCGAGCGGGCGCCTCGAGGAGCCGCCGCGGGACCGGGCGGCGGGGAGCGGGACAAAGTTCCCGGGACGCGGGCCGGGCCCGCCCGCCCGCGCGCCCGCCAACGCTCGCCGCCCCTCCGAGCCCGCGCGGCCGGCCCTCCGACAGCGGCGGGTTCCAGCGCCGCCGCCCGCCCGGCCCTTCCCGCGGGCTGCGCGGGCGCGGGCGGAAAGAAGCGCGGCGCGCCGCCCCACTCACCATGATCCGCGGCGACCCGGCGGCCAGCGCTGCGCTGTCCAGGGTAGCGGCGTCCCTCTGCGGGCGCTCCCGCGGCGCCCGCGCTAGTTACCCCTCCCACGCCCACGCCCGGCGCGCGCACGCCCGCCCGCTCCCCGCCCCCTCGGGCTCGTGCCGCGGCCGCGCGGCGCCCTGAGCCTCGGGCCGTTTCGTCCCCTCCCCTCCCCCACCGGGCCCGGCCGGCCTCGGGGCCAGGAGGGCGCGCGGGGCGGGACGGGGCGGGGCAGGCGAGGGGGCCCTACGGCTCGCGCGCCCCCGCCCGGGCTCCGGCCGCTCGGCGCGCCGCGGCGCCCCTGCCGGCCGGGCGGCGATTTGCAGGCCCAGCTGGCGCGGGCTGCGCGCGGCGGCTCCACGTCGGGGAAAGCGGGACCCGCCCGCGGCCCGGAGTGACCGCGACGGCGGCGGGCGCAGGAGGGGCGGCGTGGAGGGCGAGGGCGCCGGTCCTGCTGTCAGTTGGGCTTCGTGGCCTGAAGCCCGTATTAAGGGGGCATGGTTCTTGCTCACGCGGGTTTGCGGGATGGGGTTCCGCTGTCTGCCGGGTGGGGTGGCGGTCTGGGGACGCGGCGCGGAGCGGGTGGGCGCGGGTGACGTCTGAGCGGGACTCTGGCCCTCGCGGCGCCTGCTGCGCACAGCCTAACCCCGGGGCGTCTGGCGGGTGCCGCCGCCCTTGGCTCACTCGGCGCGTGGTCGGGAACAGCGGGCAGCACCTCGGACCCGGGCTTTCCGTTTTGGTTTTGTGTGTGGCGCAAGAGAAAGGCGGCGGAAAGGTGGATTTGCGTGAGTGTGACGTGACCTTTCCTCTCTTTTGGCCGGAGGACTCGCACCTGCTGTTCTAGGAGACGGGGCGGCCGACGCGAGCGCGCGAGGTGGGCGTGTTGACCGCGAGAGCGCGCGTCGGGCTGTGCCCAGGGCCTCGCGGCTGGCGCGCGCCCGCGGCTCCGCTCGTGCTCGCGGGTAGCAGAGTGAGCACCACGGTGCCAGGGCTTCACAGTCATGTGATCACCTGATATTGAGGGTGTCCTAGCTAGTTGGAGTGATAAATTCCAGATATATATTTGATTATGAGGAGCGGGTGACTTTATGGCCACGAAGAGGTAAGTATTGTTAACCAAATCTCATGAAATCTCAGGAGTCAGGGCTGCCAGTGATCTATATTATGACACCCGGAGACTGGCAGGAAATTTACCTAAGTATTCCCCAAATAGTAAGTGTTTATTCCTCAGATAGTAGTATTATGGGATAATTTTTTTCTTTTGACATTTTTGCTTTTTTAATATTATACATGTATTTATTTACATTTTTAAAGCTTTGATTTCTTTCATTCTTTGGATATTGAACTATAAAAATCCATGGTGGTTCACTCCTGTAATACTAGCACTTGGGGAGGCTGAGGCTGGAGGATTGCTTGAGGCCAAGAGTTCAAGACCAGCCTGGGCAACATAGCAAGACCTCGTCTCTACAAAATATTTTTTAAAAATTAGCTGGGCATGGTGGTGCACACCTGTAGTCCCAGCTACTCAGGAGGCTGAGGCAGGAAGATCACTTAAACCCAGGAGTGTGAGGCTGCAGACACCACTGCACTCCAGCCTGGTCAACAGAGTAAGACCCTGTCTCAAAATAAAAAGAAAGAAAAAAGTTTAAAACTATTAAAGTCCTGGATCTGAACTTCATTGTATCATTAATCTGATGTAGTAGAATGTAACTTCTTAATCTAGTGATTCTGAGACATTGCGTATACGTAGCACCAGAGGATTTAATATATCCGGGACCTATCCAAGTCGTCTCAGGTACAGACCAGGAATATTAATTTTTAACAAGCACCACAAATGATGTTGATGTAGGCAGGTGGTCCATGGACCACATTTTGGGAGACACAATTCCATCATCTACTCAGGGAAAGCTTTAATCTATTTTTCTAACATGAAGAGAAAAAATTATAACAATTTTGACAACCAACCTCCAAGCACCCTGCTGCTGTTTGCTTGCAGGAATTGTATCACTGACATCATCTATACCTTGCAAAGCACACCAGGTTAACACGTGGAGGGAACGCTTAAACTTTGAATGATCCCTGTATTCCACATTACCATTTAGCCTGATAATTATTTTACCTTTTTTAAAAACACATATCAGGGGGGAGGGGAGCATGGGCAATATAAGTAACCTTAACACTTGTACCCCCATAATATGCTAAAATAAAAAAAGAAAAAATAAATTAAAAAGAAATGGGAATTATTAAATAAATAAATAAATAAATAAATAAATAAAAACACATATCAACCTACAGGGCCAGAAGGAGGTCTAAAAAGTCAACTATGTCTTAACTGCTTCTTAGAAGATTATTTTATAGCTTTCCCTGTCACTACAATAAAGGAACAAAGGAGACAGTGAATGCCAGAAGGTCTTTTTTTCCCGACATTTCATTAAATATAAAAGGATGTGGTTCTACCTCTAAAAACATAGAACTGGGAAAGTACCTTAACCAGAAATAACTGGGAAAGGGTCTTAACTAGATATAACATGAATTCCCACTTATTTATTATTAAAAAGATTTTAATACAGCATCATTAACATGGTTTTATAATATTTCTTTCCTTTCATTATTTATTCTCTTGTGTGGATTACACAAAAGCTGGAATCTGCTTGTGTTTCTTAGCTGTAGGGCAAGCCCATATTGAGCATGTGTACAATAATAGAATTATAGACTAATCATGTGTCAGGTACTTATGTGGATGTGGCACTATATAAAGTGATCGTTAGCATAATCTAAGAATCTTAAACCTAAAAATAGAGATCAGACTCTGTCTTTGTCACACACACACACACACCCCTTATAGTTTACAGGTGAAGAAAGTATATCTCAGAGGAATTAGAGAAGACCAGCAACTAATAGATGACAGTGCTAAGGCCTGGCTCTCCTGAATCCTGAGTAAGTATTCTCATTGTCTTTCCTGCCTCTCCATTGATGACCTGCCAGCTATTATCAAAATTATGAAGTTGGCAAACTTCTTTTATTGTGAACCTTATCTCCTTTTTGTGTGGTTCTCTTCTGAAGCACTCGTCCTTTGATACCTACCCTCTTTGTGTTTTATCCTGAGAAAAATACCCACTTATAATTTATTGTGACTTTAAGCCAGTCTACTACTTTTCTTCGAATTATTTGTACTTTTAGGGTGATAATAGAAAGACTCTGGAAATCATATCCTTTCCTTGGCCATATAGTCCCCCTTGTGTAAAGAAAGTTCTGCACCTATGAGTTTGCAAATAAAAAATAATAAAGAGTAAACCAAGACAAAGACACAGTGACACAACTGAGTTCCCTCCAACAAATTCAGTTCATCTTTTACTCAGTATTATCAGGAGTAAGGATTTATGATAAAGTAATATAACAAGACAATCATGACCTTGTGTCAATCCAGGTATAAAAGATTTACGTTTATCAAAAATACTATACTGCATACTATGTTGTAGTGCCACATTCTCGAGCAAGGGCTGGTAAACTATGGCTGCAGGACAAATCCAGCCAGTTGACCTGTGTTTGTAGATAAAGTTTTATTAGAACACAGCTATGCCCATACAGTCACGTGTTATCTGTGGTTGCTTTCATACTACATCAGCAGAGTTGAGTAGTTGTGACAGAAACTATATGGTCTGCAAATCCTCTAATATCTATTATTTGGCCCTTTATGAAAAATGTATGCTGATCCCTGTAGAACTTAGATAATATGGATATGGCCTAGAACAACATAGGTAAATCCCCTTCTTTTATGAAGCTTATATTTTATGAAGGGGGGAGAAGATAATAAACATAATAATTCTATCTAGAAGTGTCATGAAGAAATAATATTATGACAGAACATGACTTGAGGGAACACTTTAAATAGGATGGTCAGGAAAGGCCTCCCTAAGAAGATAAGATCTAAGCTGAGAGCCCAGTGATGAAAACAGGCAGGCCATGGAGCCGTGAGGAGATCTTAGGGGGAATCCTTCCAGGAAGAGGAAACAGCTCTCCTAGATAGAGATCCATGTGTTTGCTGACCCCATGGCCATCAGCCCCTGCGCTGAGGCCCTACTTTTGAGGACCCCAGCCCTAAGGAGCCTGGTCCTGGCAGGACATTCCTACATGGTGTCTACTGGTCAGCTGCAGCCATAGCAGTTCAAAAAACCCCAGTTGCACCATTACTTTGTACTCCTATAGTCATTTGACTTTATCTTTCAACTTTTTGTTGTGCTCATTTAACTGTTCTTCTTGGCACATTCATTCACATTATCATTTTGTCTTTTATATATGCTATTTTATTTAAACTATATTTATTAATTTCCTTTTAATATTTTTTTAAATGTATTTATGGCAAGTAGCATGGGCATAAAGTGGGATAGCCTATTTCACAAGGAAGGTGAGGTGCCATAATCCCTTGGCATGACCTGTAGTAGCCTTTCCAACCCATACCATAGAGTGGCTGTCCTTTCTCAGGTGTACTCTTTGAGATTAATCCTAGGCAGTAGCCTATCAGCCTATCTATTCTGCACCAGAGTTAAAGCCTAGGAATCAACTGAGGAAGGAGAGAAAGTGCTGGTAAAATCCAACCATTCAGATCTCAAGGAGGGCACCTTGCATGAACTCCCCCTTCCCATTCGCCATTGTAAGTGTGACTGTGTGATTGTGTGAGGGTGTGTGCGTTGGGAGGGGGTTAGAGTGAAGCCACACATTCTCCCCTGCAAGAAGTACTCGTGCCTGGAATGGAAGTAGTGTAAATAAGAGACTAGACTAGTGCCTTATAATTAATCATTTTGAAGTTTATGATTTTCTGGCCTATGGTTAAAGTTGGTCAGAAATAGCTGATCTGTAACTATAATGTTTATAACTTTACTGAATATTTTCCTCAATTATTGAAGATGTTGATGTGAATGAACGTAGAAGGTGGTAAAATTTACATGGATTCATAAAATTGAATAGACTCCTACCCTAACTCTTTACTGCATCTTAGACTGATTTGCACTGCATTTTCTTTCTATTGTTATCAAGAATAAAAGTCATTCAATATTAGAACCATATAGCCAAAAATATACTCAAAATTTTGTTGACTCTACCTAAATGAAATTTAAAGGAACATAAAAGTTTGGAAGATATCAGGCTAATAAAAAATAGCTAGAAGATAAAGTCTTACTAAAAAATAACTAGTATATTATTATGTGTGTTCTAATTGGTATTCAATGAGGATACAAAATAAGAAGTCTCCATGTTTAACATTTTATTTTTCTAGGAAATTGGCAAATTAACCTTATAGAGAAAGTAGAGATGAGGAACCTAAATGAAGTTCAAGAGTACAGGTTTCAATCATGTGCATTATGACAACCTAAGCAACTTCTCCAACATCTGGGAAACATAGACTAATGGGATCCTGTAATTAGTCCAGAAGTCACCTCAGGCAGCCTCAGCTTATAACCTCATGGCTCCTTTAGCTCAGATGTGGTATTTACAGGTAACTATTGAGTATCTAATAGAAGCTCAAAGCCATGGTAGGTGACTTACAACAGGAACTCATTTAATCCTCACCATAGCCTGTGACTAGCTCCATTGTACAGATGAGGAACCTGAGGCTCAGAGAGGTTAAGTAATGTACACAGGGTCACATAGTTAGGCAGTTGGAAAGGGGAGCCAGGATTCAATCTGAAGCCTGGTTGGATTCTTTCTACAACACCATGCTGTTTCAAATAATCCCATATTTTAAGAATCCTTATAAACTTGGCAGAGAAACTCACTTTCTGCAGGCCATTTATTCGCTTGAAGGTCAACTGCTTATATGACATGGCTTCACAGTGAGTCCAGGAGAGTGTCACAGCATTGGTAGAAGGGTAGGGTTGAAGCAAAAGGATGGTTCTGTCCAAATGGCTTAAAGAAAACCTTCTAGGATCTGTAGATTAATTTTACAGTTACAGTGAAAGGGGATTCCTCTGCAGTGTCTGCTGAAGGATCCAAAACGTAAGTTCATGTCACTGGTCCTCCTTCAGCTATTAGTAGTAAGTCTAAAAGAGCAGATGAAGAGTGAACCTTCCAGCAATTTTATTTTTTTCTTAATTATGGAAAATTCCAAACATATACAAGAGTAGACAGAATAATAACGAACCCCAACACATCCATCATCCATCTTCAGAATTATCTACTCATGACCAACCTTGTTTTATCTATATGCCTGCATCCTACTTCCCCTCATTCTGGTATTTTGAAGCAAACCCCAGATAATAATAGTTTATCTGTAAATATTTTAGTATATATCTTTAAAAACAAGAATTTTTTAAAAAATCCATAATCACAATACCATTATAATACCTTAAAGATCAACCATAATGAGTATACAACTTTCCAATTATATTTATGTCTCACTTAATCTTGACACCTGTTCATCCATCTCTTTTTGTTTTCTTGCAATTTATTAGTTTGTACTGTAGACTTTTCAATAGTCTAGATTTTCATGATGCACTTGTCAAACTGCATCCTGTAGTGCAGTTTGACAAGTGTTTCTTACCTCTGTAGTTTTGTAAATTGGTAACTATAACTAGTTCTAGACGCTCTATCAGATTCAGGTTAGGATTTTTTTTTCTTTTTTTTCTGTTTAGAGCCCTGGAAACCCTGTGGAGCAGGTTAGGATTTTTTTGACAAGAGTACTTTATAGGTGTGTGGTGTGTTTTCTATCAGGAAGCATCCAATACCTAATGGTCCACTCTTTTTATGATGTTTAAGCAACAGTTGATGCTTAAATATCACTGATTCATTAGGGCCTGAAAAATTATGATAGTCTAGTTCCACATTCCTTTTTCATTTAATAGCTAGAATACTTTAAGGATTCTCCTAATATACTCTTTGGTTACCTAAGGGATACAGTTCATATAGGAAAGATAGGATAAATGCCAGTTGTAAAATGAAGAGCTGGTTCATTAACAATGTAAAAATGTGGAGAGCAAGTTCAAAATTTAGCTATGAGGATAGGTTAGAATAAACAGCATTTGGTGGCTGGGCGCAGTGGCTCATGCCTATAATCCCAGCACTCCGGGAGGCCAAGGCAGGAGGATTGCTTGAGGTCTGGATTCAAGACCAGCCTAAGCAAGAGCGAAAACCCATCTCTCCTAATAGAAAAAATTAGCTGGGCATGTTGGTGTGTGCCTGTAGTCCCAGCTACTCAGGAGGCTGAGGCAGGAGGATCACTTGAGCCTAGAAGTTTGAGGTTGCTCTGAGCTAGGCTGACACCATGGTACTCTAGCCTGGGCAACAGAGCAACTCTGTCTAAAAAAAAGAATAAATAGCATTTGGAAATACCCATGCTAGCTGCCAAGATCAATAATGCCACGTTAACTGTTGTTGCCCAACTTGTTTTTTACATCTTTCATGTTCCATCTGAAAATAGAGTGACTCTTTCAAAGGACAGGGAAAAAAATCAACAGAAAGCTTTAACATGATTGGTCCTTTTCAAGAGGATAGGCCACAGTTCAGGAGAATCAATCATGAATTTTTTTAGTAAAATCTTATTTGGTGACTTCCTTAAACTAGTTGGTTGGAAAAGTACATATGACAGTAATCTTGGGACAAAATATTGTCTGTCACTAATCTAGAAGTAGCTCTGTCAAAGGTAAATTTACAATTAATTTCATTCTATCACTGCTTCATCTTAGTTCAGTATTTAACTTGAAATGTTAATTCCAAATGGCTTCATATTTCTATTGCATAGTAGACATTTGGTAAATATTTGAGACAGATTGACCCTTTTGTTTTATTTACCCCAGGCCACCTACGGTGTCTGTGACATTGTAAAGAGAATTTCGTTAGATTCAGAGGTCTTTGAAAAGTGTATCATTTTTATTAGTTAGTGGAAATGGAGTTCCTGAATAAATGCTAATTTAATAATCTCATTTATATAAACAATTGTGACAGAA